GGCAGGGGGAGGAGGAAGAGGAGGAGGAGGAGGCGGGGAACCGCGCGTTGCCGGAGCCGCCGCCGCCGCCGCCGCGGGTGAGTCGCCGGTGACCGGGCGGGGGGAGCGGGCCGGGGCTGGGCTGAGATGGGGTGGGGTCGGGTCCCCTTTTGGGGTGCAACCCCAGGAAGTCGCTGCTGCCAACGGGGCGGCCCCGGGGACCGCTGGTGTGGTCATGGAGGGGGGCAGGCAGCCCAGGTTGGCCGGAGGGCTCTGCCCGCCCCCGGTTCGCTCCATGAGGGAGCAGAGCGGCTGTTCGACATCTTCCCACCCTCCCCGTGCCGGTGCTGCTGGCATTGTTCGGGATGGAGAGCGGCGGGAGCCGGGCTGCGAGTGGGAGGGGAAAGTCCGCACCCGCCGTGCTCAGCTTGGTCCCGAAACGCGGTGCTCTGGGGCGTCCGAATACAATCGGTCTTTGTGAAAAAGAAGGAAAGAAAAGGAGAAAAAAAGGAAGAAAAAAAAAAAAAAAAGAAAAAAAAAAAAAAAAAGAAAAGAAAAGAAAAGAAAAGAAAGAAAAAAAGGCCGACCAGGGCGTAAATTTCCCCATGAGAACTCGTTGCTGCGTGGCTGCAGCCGGGAGCATCCCGCAGCGCTCCTGGCCGGTGGGTCGAGCAGCTCTCTGCTTCTGCTCCGTTACAAGGCTCAGAACTCAGCGAGGGGGATGTGGGGACCCAGAAATCCCTTTTTTCACCCTGGGGGTCTAAAGGGCTCCGTGTCCCTGAGCAGCATCACCCGGAGGGGGCTTGTGGGGTGTCCCCTCCCCGGTGCCATGGCGCAGCAGCTTTGCGTACCACCAAAATTCCTTCTGCTGGTGCTGACCCACACAGTGTGCTTCCACGGGGCTGTTGGAAACGTGAGCATCCTGCAGAGCTTGCCTGCCTCGGGATGCCCCCTGCACACAGGGTGTGCCCCTCCAGGACCCCAATAGAGCCTGGGGTTCCCAATCCATAGCCCTACATTCAATTTGGTGAGACTGCTGGAGCAAGCCTTGGGGGTCTTTCTGACCTTTTCTTTCCTTTTTATGTTTGTCCCGTGAACGGAAAAAGGACACCAGCTTGCAGCTCCTCCCTGCAGGTCTCTGTGAACGGTTTCCTGTCTGTCAGCCCAGCGTGGGCCTCACGTGGTGGGAGAAACAAGGCTGTGCTGCACTGTGCTGCCAGGGCGAGCGCATGGCTGAGCCGCAGCATTACCCAGCTCCTGTCCAGGGCTGGAACTGGCACCCAGCACTGATGTCCCTAGGCTGGTGGTGAGCCTGATGCTGTCACCAGGTGCCCAGGGCACGGAGCAGATGGCCACAGCTCAAGGCATGGCTGTGCCAGCCCGGCTCGGGTGGCTGCAATCAAATAGCAGCAGTGTCCCCTGGGCACCGCCTGCCTCTGCTGTGCGAGATGTATTTGTGGGAGCTGTGCACATGGGGACTGAATTTTGGGGGCTGTGGGGAATGCTGTGCCTTGTGATCCTGTAGCTGTGTGCCTGAGCCACCACAGATGGGCTGTGGGCAATCCCTATGCTATGATAGGTCTGCAGCTCTGCGTCCAGCCTGTCTCTGCTGCCTGTCTCCTGCTGTTCTCTCCAAAAACAAAATGGTTTTGCAGTGTGCTGCATAGGCTGCATCCGCTTCTGTGTATCGTGTCAGGGATGCAGAGGGACAGCAGGTTTGCCTTGCCCAGGTGGGCTTGGCTTCCCCTCATCTTCATCATGGTAGCTTGAGCCAAGTGGATGCACTCACCTTGGCTTGAGAGAGCACGGTGCCTAGGGCAGGTCAGTGGAAGCGTTGCCTTGCTCCGTGGCTCCTGTAGAACTGCTGTTCCCCAATGCTCCAAAGTTGCCAAAGCATTGGGAGTTTGGCGTGTGAGGTAGAAAAGCCCCCTGGGCAGTGAGTGCTGCGGTCCTGCCCATCTGCTGGGACTGGCTGGGAGCTATAAATTCACTCCTTGCTTCTAAAAATGTCTCTGTTACACCCAGCAGCCATAATTCTGGAGGATTGTTGCTCCACATCACTGGAAGGTTGGTTGGGCTGCACGACTCTCTTGAAACATCTGTGGATGCTCAGCTGCCTGGAAGCTGTGATGTTTTCACGCCCTCAGCTGACTGATATACAGCCGTTGGCTATCCAACTGGCTATGCTAACCCATCCAACTGACCTGGCAGCCTGCGGTGTTTCCAGCCTAGCACGGAGGAAAGGGAGCTATCCCCAGTCTAGAAACCTCTGTGCAGCATCCTTGTTTGCTGGGTGCTGCTGCTTGGGATGCCTGGAACAACATCTGCAGCCCAGAGCAGTTGGATGCCCTCTCTCATCCTCACTGGCAGTTCCCAGCATTGCTTCCCCAAAGGCTTTTTGCAGAGGGACCCTCTCACTGCAGCCCTTTGCCCTGGGGGTGCTTCTCAGCGGCTGCTGCACAGATGTTGGATTTGGCTCGCGTGTGATGCGCGTTAATTATGGTGCAACAGCCCAGAGCCTTTGGCAAAATAGACTTGAGAGCAGCTGTCCGAAGTCACCCTGGAGCTGTGGGCTGGTTTGTGCTGGTGTTCTGCACACTCTGCATCTCCAGTACCCACGTGGAGGGGATTTCCCCAGCAGAGAGGACGTTTGTGCAGAAGTTCCCACGCACCTCATGTTTGTTTACCCATGGGCATCAGCAGAGCGAGCAGGACCCATGCTTCCCCAGGAGGCAGCTGTGCTACAGAGAAGCAGTGGTGGTTGAGGTCTGATTGCTGCTGGGGGCTCAGTGGCACTCAGGCGTTCCTGATAGCACTGTGTGTTTCTGAACACTTCTCTTCAGGTGGGTCTGGCGCAGCCCCTTTGGAGCTGACTGGATGCTCAGGTTCTTGTTAGGAACAGATCTGCTCTTCCCAGGAGCTTTGCCTCGGTGGGAAGCTGAAAGGAAAGAAAGCGAGAGCGTGGGTTGCAACATTCCCCCGGGGGAATTCTCCAGGCAGTTCGTGTCTGTGCATCCCTGTTGTCCTGCAGAGCCTCCGAGTTGCAACATGTTTATTTATCTTCTCCCCAAACGGGAACCAGATGCTGGGATAGCTTGGCCTTTCACTTACTTTTTCCTTTTGGCCAGCTGCAACAGCGTTGGCCGCGTGCACCTTGGTGGTGGCAGCGTGGCAAACAGGCACACGTGATGTGCATCCTTTAGTGGCTTTTGTCTCACTGTGAGCTGGTGAGTCACGAGCCCTCTGCTGTGCATTGGAGCAGAGCGCTGCACGGCGGCACGTAGCGCCTGCGTGGGGTTGGGGCAAGGTTTGTGTGCACGTCCCAGCTGTGCGCTCAGGGAGGGCGCAGCACCTTCTGCAAACTGCATGGTAGCAAGGCTCCGTGCACACCCGTGGCTGTAGGATGCTCCACAGAAAGAGCAGTGATGCATTGGCACAGCTGCCCGGAGGGTAGGGTGGGTCATCGGCCCTGGAGGTGTTCCAGAACTGTGGAGATGTGGCACTGAGGGATGTGGTCAGTGTGCACGGTGGGGTTGGGCTGATGGTTGCAGTTGGTGAGATGAGAGGTCTTTTCCAACCTTAATGATTCTATGAGTCGCTTAATTCCTCTGCCAGCCCCCAGGCTGCATCCTGTCCTGCAGGACCAGAGCGCTCAAGGCTCTCTGTGTGTTACCCTACCGTTCTGCTCCCGGAGCACAGTGCTGAGCAGTTGCACAACCCTGTGCTTCTGGTGGCAGCATACTTTCCACGTGATTTATTTTTTAGTGGTATGTAGGGATTTTTTCCACTTTTGGTCTTACCACTTTGAAACAATGCCAACTCAGGACCTATGGAAGGACCTTTGGCATGCTGGATTCACAATCTGTTCTGGGAGCAGCCTGCAGTGTGCTGCCAGCTGTGCTGGAGCCCAACTGCCTGGTGCAGGGCTGGATGGAGGAGCAGATTGTTGCCATGTGTGTCAGCTGCTTTGTTGTTCTCCAGCGGGGCTGGAGGTGGAAAAAAAGTGCTCAGAGCACAGCAGTGTTGGCAATTGGTGTTGAGTTTGTTTTTATTTTTTATTCATGCTTAGTGTTAAAGGAGTGGAGTGCTTGCAAGACATGAATACTACTGCCCCAAAGGGCCGGGGCTTGCTTTGGAGGAAGCCCCTCTGTCCCAGCTGCAGAGGAAAGCATGCAGCTCCTCATCAGAGCCAGAAATAACAGTGGGGTGAGGCCTACGTGAGGATAGGAGCTGAGGTCCCTATTCCTGTTTTAATGAGTGAGGATGAGGACCTTTGCAAGAAGCTTAAAGAAAGTAAATCAATTTGGCTTGGATGCAGGGATGTGGGTGCTCATCCTGCTTGTGCACACTTTGTGCTGGGGATGCATCACCTCGTAGTGCCTTCCTGGTGGTTCTGCTTCCCATCTGTGGATCCCAGAGGAGATGGGGCTCTGACTTTTTGTATGAAGATGTTAAATGAGACTATGGATTTGTATTTGTTTCTCTGTCATCCTCCAGAGACATGTGCCTTCTTTGCAGTGCGGTGCTGACGTGCTTTGGTAATGTGCATGCTCTGCACTGAGCTAAGTGCCCTGCTTTTTGGGCAAGTCAAAGGCTTTGCTTTTCCTGTGACAGATAACAAAAGAACTAGAGCAGTACTGTGACAGCCCTATTACTGTGTGGGTGCTCTCTGGTGCAACCCATTTAGATATGGATGTGTTGTTCTCCACCTGTCAGTGGGCTGGCTCTGCGCTTGTGCTGAGGGCTTCCTCAGTGCTGGGTTTGGCTCAAAGCAATGCACTGGGATCTGGTGGGACCTGGCAGGGCTCTGCCCGTGGAGCAGGTTCCAGAGAGTTGGGCTGCATCCTTGTGCTGTGCTTCATAGGCTTGGTAATGTGGGCAGGGATTGAAGTGCATGCAGTAGGTTAAGAAATGCAAGCCCAAATTCGAGGTAATTCCAGGCAAAGATGCTGCGCGCTGCTCTCTCAGCCCCCAAATGCCCCAAACTGCTCAGCCCTTCTGACCATTCTCCCTTTGCCCCCCAGGTCCAGAGGCCATTCCCAGCCCTGTGCCCGGCATGACGGACGCTGTGCGTGATGCTGGCCCCAAGCAGGCGGCACCGGCACGGCCGGACAGACCAGCTGCAGACTTTGGCTACGTGGGGATCGATGCCATCCTGGAGCAGATGAGACGGAAAGCCATGAAGCAAGGCTTCGAGTTCAACATCATGGTTGTGGGTGAGTGCTCCCTGCGGGCCAGCTGCCTGCAGCGTGCTCCACGGGCTGTTTGTTTTATTCTGTGACAATGTTTGTCCTTTCTGTCCACCCCTTGGGAACAGCAGTTCAGCTCCATGTCGCTGTCTCTGACACGGAAGAGTGCTGTTTGCAAAGTGCTGGTCAAATTCAGCAGTCATTATGGCCAGGATGGGACACAGCCTGGCAATTGCCAGGATCCCAGTGCTGTGTTGGGGTGCATCACTCCCCCTGGGAGCACCTCAGAGGTGTCAGGTGTTTCTGTAGCCTTGCAGAGAGTGACAGCCCTGCACTGGTTTGGCAGCAAAACACAGAATCATAGAATGAATCATAGAACGGCTTGGTTGCAAGGGACGTACTGTTGGGTTGTTTGCAACCTACTTTAGAGAACTTGCTGTAGCAGGGGGTTGAATTAGATGGTCCCCAGAGGTCCCTTTCAATTCCTATCTGTGTTTCTGTGATAGTGTGACCTCAAAGATCATCTAGTCTCAATCATAGCTCATGCATGCTCAATCATGCTCGTAGCATGAGCAGAGTTGCTGACCCAATGTGGCCTTGAGCACCTCCAGGGATGAGACACCCACAGCTTCTCAGGGCAGCCTGGGATGTGGGCTGGGAGGTCACTGCAAACACTCTCACTTCAGAACCAGTTGGTGCAGGTTCTTGTGACGTTTTTCTGTGTGAACCTAGCTGAGTGGCTCCAGGCTTCCCCCTGCACTCCCAGCAGATGCCGGGGGCTCATCAGAAGGGCTCTGCTTTGGCAGCACTCTGTGTGTGGTAGGGAAGCCTTTGCTGTAGTGTGGCTGGAAAACATTGTTCCTCCCTTGGCAGGCTCCAGAGAGCTGTTTACAGGCTGGGGATTTCATAGCAGCATGGATAAACTGAGCTGCATCCCTCCCTACAGGCATGGGGAGGGGTGCAGGAGGAGCTGTGCCCATGGGAGGCCCAGGGGTGCTTGGCTGAAGCTGGTGCAGGAGCACCTGGACCAGACTATCACATATCCCCTCTGCAACCCAGTGGTGTTGGCTGCTGGTGAGCAGTGTGTGCTGTGCTGTACTGCATTGCAGCTCGCAGTGGATGCAGAAGCCTGAGGTGTTGGCGTTGCCACTGCTGGGATGCCAGTCCTGCTAAAGGCTCACAGAACTGCTGGGGGAGGATGTGGGAGTGTGTGGTGGTTCAAGAAGCCACGTGCAGAGGAAGGAGCTTTGTATGTGACCACACTGCTGTCCTCCCCCTGCTTTCCCCTACACACAGCGGTGCAAGGAAGTGCTTTGCCCCAGTAACACTGCCCTGTCACAAGCTCTGTGCAGGCTGTGTCCTGGCAGCTTCTCATCTGCTGTCCCCTGCAAAAATAACCCGGAAATGTCACAGTGCTGACGATGGTTTGTCCTGCTGCTTTCCAGGTCAGAGCGGCTTGGGGAAATCCACATTAATCAACACCCTCTTCAAATCCAAAATCAGCCGGAAATCTGTACAGCCAACTTCTGAAGAGCGGATCCCCAAGACCATTGAGATCAAATCCATCACTCACGGTGAGGCTCCACATATCCCAGCTGGTGCTTTGGCTTTCGGTCCTACTGTGTCTTGCGTCCTGCTGAATCTCTGCTCTCATCTGCCCAAATGGGTGTGGAGCATCCAGAGATGCTCAATGAGCTGGGAAAGCACATCTTTTCCTCTTATCCTCCAGCACTGACTTAATTATGATAGAAGGGAACAAGCAAGGTGGCAGCTGGGGGAACTGCATACAGGGCAAAGGCAGTGCTGCATCCCCTTGGAGGGCTGGTTTGTGCCTGCTCAAAGCTGTAACGGGAAGCTGAGCACGCTTGGCTCACCCTGTCCGCTTTCCTCTCCATTTCAGAGATTGAAGAGAAAGGGGTTCGCATGAAGCTGACGGTCATTGACACCCCTGGCTTTGGAGACCACATCAACAACGAGAACTGGTGAGCTGCCTGGGCACGAGGCTGCTGCAGGGAGAAGGCACCTGATGCTGGGGCATCCTGCTTTGGTGCTGGGGGCTGGGCAGTGGTCCTGTGCTCCCCGTGCCCTATGAAGAGCAGAGCAGAGTGGGTGCTCCCTGGCACCGAAGTGGACCCGTAAACATCCTGCTGATTGTGGCATGAAACAGGCTTTGTTTGGTGCCAGGAGCAGCTGTATGCCAGCACAGCCGGTCCCCAGACCCTGCTCATGTGGCCCAGAGCCCTGCCACATGTCCTTGGGACAGCTGGGGTCTGTGTGGGATGTGGTGCTGGCTGGGCAGAGTTGTGTGCATGCAGAGTGCCTGAGTCCCTGTGTGGTGCCACTGGGATAGGGAGGATGGGGGCTTTTTGGACACCTCTCTGCTGTCCTGCGCTCCCTCTCCCTATAGATGGTGCTTTCAGGAAGCAGGACGGCTCAGGGTCCCTCTCACACCCCAACCTCACATGTCTGTGCCTCTGCAGCTGGCAGCCCATCATGAAGTTCATCAACGACCAGTATGAGAAGTACCTGCAGGAGGAGATCAACATCAACCGCAAGAAGAGGATCCCTGACACCCGGGTGCACTGCTGTATATACTTCATCCCCGCCACCGGCCACTCGTACGTACACACCCCTGGGCTCCAGCCCCTCTGTGCTCCCCTCTGTGCCTCTGGTCCCACGTCTCAAGTGCTTAGGGCAGCCCATCCCCAAAGATGGAGGTCTGTCAAAGGGTTTGGAGGAGCTCAGAGTCATCCATGAGCACCTGGAGTTGCTTTAGCCAAGGAGGATGGGGTGTGTTCTCCCGAGGCCATGAAAGCTTTCATTCAGGTTTGCTTTGATCACCTTTGTTCAGCTGAGGGTGGGCATCAGGCAGCGAGCTTTTGGATGGGATGATTGCCTCTGCAAACAGGAGAACTTGCTTTTCTGCTCCCCCACCTTTGTAAGTGCTGCCTTACCGAGGGAGCCAACATCATAACCCTTTTAGGGCATTCTGTGGTTGTTTGATTAGTCTGCACATGGGATGCAGTTTACTCTGTGCAGAGCTCTCCTGTCTCTGGCACTTCTCAAATAACAGCATCAAAGGGCTCCATCTCCAACTCCTGCTTTTCTGTTTTAAAGACACAGAGCCTTTACTGAGAATCTGGGGCACTTGTGGTGTTCTGAAAGCCACAACTCGAAGCATCTCAGCATGAAGTGAGACCCGGGCTTCCTTTTGATTTGAGTCAATTCCTTCCACTTCTGGCTTTGTCTGCATGGGGAATTTTTGTGTCTGATTTCAGAAGTAAACTCAAACCACCAGCACTGTATTCATGTCAGCCTTTTCCTCTTCATCACGGAGAGATGTATTCCAACAGAAAAAGAAAAAAAAGGTTTTGTTTTGCTTCTGTTGGTGGGCAGACAAAAAATGCACTTTTCAGTGGAATACAATGACTGCATGGGGCAGCTATGCTCTTCTTGTATAATAGGCACAGCGTGTGCAGGGACCTCACAGCCTCTGAGAGGGAGCAGGAGCCTCCCTCTGGGCTTGGACTCTTCCTTTACACCCTGATGAAGTGGAAATGTAGGAGGGGATGATGTGTTGGGCCATTTGGCTGTGGGTGCTGCTCATCTTTGGACCTATTAGCAAACCGGGTCGGGGTATTGCAGCATGAGCTGTGCTTTGTCTTTTTCTCATCACTTTGGGCATTTTAACCCTTGCACATCTGTGAACATGGGAGCACAGCATGCAGCAGATGTGGATGGGAGATTTGGGGCTGCTGCAGGCTCTGCTTCCCACATAGCACCCTGTGGAGCTTGCTTCACCCCGTCCCCTGCCGGAGCCCCTCGGAGCGTTCTGGTTTCTCTCACTGCTGGCTAGCAGTAATTGCTGGAGGTTCAGCTGCCTTTCTTCTTTCTCTCCAGCAAACATGTGTTTCCAATATCAGCTAGCCCGGCCGTTGGAGGATGGTGTTGCTGAGCTGTGCACAGCCCTTGCTGCAGTGCTAACAGCCCTGCCCTGTGCCACCCCCAGCATCGGCTCACATCCCCTCCTGCCTGGGGACAGCAAGGCTGAGAGCAATTGACGCTGTTGCCTGCAGAAAGGGGGGCAAACCCCATGGAGTGCAAGAAGGCTGTGGGAAATAAGCTTTTGGAGAAAGCAATGAGCAAGCATTGGGTTTCCCTTCTGCTCCCCTTTGAAGTCCAAGTTGTGGTGCCTGGTACCCCACTGTGCCCATGCTGCAGCGCTGGCATCAGGGCTCTGTGCTCAGTGTGCAGTGCAAGGGCTCACAAACCACTCTTAGCACAGGCTCATGCCTCCTACCATTCTGCTCAAGGGTTAATCCAGGGAGAATTTTCCCTTCCTAGGGAGGTCAGGGCAGGATTTGCAACCCATCTAGCTCGCACACACCCTGTCCTTCTTGTAACACTCCCGTAAAACCATGTTAGCACAGGCTAAGTAACCTGCTGGCAGGGCTTCTGGCTGCAGCCGCACAAGCCGCAATCTTTGCCACCCAATAAATTTCTCAGCTGTGACCCCTGTGAAGCACCACCCGGCTTGGAAACGTAGCTCTGAACCACTGCCCAGCCCCAGCAGCCCTGCTCTGTGTGTGTGCCAGAGCCACGTGTTGAGAGATAGACACCCTGCAGCCACGATTGGGCCCCTCATCGGGGTGCTGGGTGCTGTGAGATGGCTACATGCACAGCTCAGCTTCCTGCTGGTGGTTTGATCTGGGGCACAACAGAAAGGAAATGGCTGCGGCTCTCAGTGGGTTGTTTTTACCACAAAGGTATTTAGAGGCACTCTGCTGTCTCCGGCACCGTAGCAAGAGGGGGTGGGGGACAGCCAGCATTGCTGGGTGGTGCTGTGCAGCAGGAGTTTGGCAGGAATTAGATCTGGGCTTGCCCCATCGTGACCTTGCCCTTGTCTTCGTGGGTCTGTGCAGCGTTAATTAGTAGATGTTCAAATCAGGTTCTCTTCTTTCATCACCCCCTTAAGCCCTTCATTCTCCTTTGTTGTCTTCAGATGAGTAACAATGACTTCCAGCATCACTTGCTTTTAAATATTTGAGGTTTGAGCGTTCCCTAAAAATTGTGGCTGGGGGGTTTGCAGCAGCTCAGCCCATGGATGTGATGTGCACAGAGGAAACACTGGGGAACTTTGCTCTACTGCATCCTGGGAGCTGCCCCATGGTGCCACAGCTGTCCCCTCTGCTTCCATTTAGCATCACTGCTCTGCGTGTGAGCTGTGCCTTGGGAACAGCCTCAGCTCCTCATCTGGTACCGGGGAGGGCTGAGGGGTCTGCTGGGCTGAATCTCACATGTCTGGTGGGCTGTGAATCCATCGGCTGCGTGCGCATCCCAGGCTGTGCTCTGATGAAAGAGGCAGGAACACAGCCTCAGTGGGGAAGAGGCTTTTAAAGGGGAAAAACTGTTTGAAAAACAGCAAAGAGAAAGGAGGGGAAAGCATTCTGCTGGGAAAGGAACGTAAGCGCATTGCTTCCTTGGAGGTCTGGGAAATACATTATGCAGAGCTCCAAACAATGTTTGCCAGCAGCAGTCTGCTTAGATGTGTCCATGGGGGTTTCCTTGTGTTTTTTTCTTTCTTCCTTTCTTTTTTTTTTCAAAATAGCCAAACTCCTTTCTTTTCTGGGGCCCATAGTGATCTGTGGCTCCTGAGCTTATGCTGGGAACTGGTTTGTATTCACACTGCTGGTACTGAGCTGTGGTGGGGTTGGGGAGCAGCTCCATGCAGGGTGTGACCAGACCTTCCTGGGAGGAGAAGGGGTTTGGGCAGGGTACAGCTGGGATCTATGCATGAGGGTAGCCCTGAGCTGTGGTTTTAGGATCACAGGAGTGGCATGGTGCAGCTGAGCAGCTCTCTATGGACTTTGTGATGCTGCTGGATGGCCGCGAGGGATAGACGTGGGGCATAAACGGTTTCTTTCCCTGTGTGCTTGCAAGGCTTTTGCTGGGTTTGCAGGAGCCATGCAGGGGCTCTGGAGGGTTCTGAGCCCTTTGTAGGGCTCACAGATACTTGTTTGGATGTGTTGGCAGTAGCTGCTGTCTTGACAGTGTTCTCCCCATCTCTGGGTGCTTGGCTTGGCTCCATGTTGCCCCACACAGCTCCATCCTGCTCTTGTGGGTTCCTGGTTATGAGGGCCTCTGGTCTGTGAAACAGGGTTTCACCAAGGCCTGCCAGGCTGAGGCTGTGTCGCCATGGGGCTGTGAGGATGTGAGCATTGGGATGTCTTGCTGCTGCTGAGGTCAGGTGCTGGAAAGACATTGAGGAGCCAGAGCACATCCAGAGAAGGGCAGCAGAGCTGTGAACGGTGTGGAGCACATTTCCTATGGGCAGCAGCTGAGGGAACTGGGCTGGTTCAACCTGGAGAAGAAGAGGCTCAGGGGAAACCTCTCTACAGCTCCCTGACAGGAGGTTGTGGTGAGGTGGGGGTTGGCCTCTGCTCCCAGGTAGCTGTGGTAGGATGAGAGGTGATGGCCTCAAGTTTCACCAGGGGAAATTCAGGTTGGATGTCAGGAAAAATTTCCTCTCAGAAAGAGAGGTGATGCAGTGGCACAGCTGCCCAGGGAGCTGGTAGAGTCACTGTCCCTGGAGATGTTCAAGAACTGTGGTGATGTGGCACTGAGAGATGTGGTCAGTGGGCATGGTGGAGGTGGACTGGGGTTGGACATGGTGCTCTGGGAGGTCATTTCCAACCTTAACAATTAGATGATTCTATTGTACCTCGTGAGATCAAGCTGTGGCATTTGCCCCAGAGCAAACAGAGGTGTCCCTGAGCTGTACAGCTGCATCCAACCCCCAGTGATAAGAACATCTCCTGGGAGGAGTGAGGAGCAGAGGCAGGGTCAGGGCCGGGTGCCTGCGTGGCACCAATTACGCACCCATGAGGGATGGATTTCCCAAGGAGTGCTGAGGTTATGCAATCACTTCGACTTTGCTCTTCTGACACTTCCACCGTAGAAATTTGTCTCTCTGCTGGGAGATTGCACGGCCCCATGTTGAGTCCCTCATCCCTCCACTGTGTTTTTCAGGCTCCGACCGCTGGACATCGAGTTCATGAAACGCCTGAGCAAAGTGGTCAACATCGTCCCCGTGATCGCCAAAGCCGACACACTGACACTGGAGGAGAGGGACTACTTCAAGCAGCGGGTGAGGGGCCAGGAGGCTGCGCAGGTTGGGAGCTGAGCACTGGGCTGCCAGCCCAGCATTCCTCAGCCGAAGCGCTGAGCGATCCTGTGCGCAGGGAACGGCCTTCACTCTTTGTGTTTCTCTTGGAATTTTGTCAGTGCGGGATAAGTTCTGAGCTCGTGGCCTCTGGGCCAGTTTCTCCTGCCTCCTTTGTTGCTGCTGTTGTTATTTTCAGGCTGGTTTGTTGTATTTTGGGACGCTGACGGTGGTGCATGTAGAAGCTGTAAAAGCCTTCCTGGGTGGCACCATGCGCTCAGCAGCAACTGGGCACAAATGTGTGTGTCTGCTCAGCTCAGCTGGGCCACATCTGTGGGGAAGCAAGGCATGAAATCCCCTTGATTCTGTTGGTGGGGAGCTGAGGAGGGGCTGTCTGAGTGCACAGGAGAAGCGTGCGTGCTTTCCTCTGCGTGCATACGGAACTGCACATGGCCCAAATATCCTGGTGTAGTGCAGGGAATGGCTGAGGGCTGTAGGGCACAGAGGCAATTGCTGGGTCTGGAGGACCAGCCAAAATATCAGTGTTTGACTGCTGGGCATTGCTGTGCCCTGGTATGAGCTGAGCTGATGGGATGGGATGGGATGGGATGGGATGGGATGGGATGGGATGGGA